AAGAAGAAAAGAGTCAATATCGTGAAGGTGTGGTCATTGACACGAAACCAAAAGGAATGGAAGGAGCTTTAGTCAATGCAGGACTTAAAAAGGTTTCTATTATTTATATTTTTATATATTTTATATAATGGATATGTATAATTATTGCCTATTTCATATCACTTAGAACGTGCTTATTGATCAACAAATCAATCCTGGAGTACGAGTAACATTAGATATGGGAGATTATACAGTTGTTAAAAATGGTAAATATATTAATTAATAAATTAATAAATTAATAAATTAATAAATTATTTATATACACATTTAGAATCTAAATATATTAAAGCCAAAGTAGTATCACCAAAAACTCCAAGTGAAAATGGAATATACTGGGGATATCAAATTCGATTGGCAAATTCAATATCAAAAGTATTTACTGAATCACCATATCCTGTATGTATATATATCGTTAAAGTTTACAATTATTGTTATCCATATTATTGCTTTTTTTATTGTAATAAAACTTTTTAGGATGGTTATGATATTTCAATAGGAACTTCTGAACGTGGCAAAATAGTAGATGAAGTGATTAATGAATTACCAGAATTTAAGTAAATATATATATTTTATAAAATAAGATATTTCTCTTTTTAAAAAAAATTAATTTACCATATTTTTTACCCCAAGACATTTGTTGATTGTTTTTGGTGGTTTATCCGGATTGGAAATGGTGATAGATAAAGATAAAGATCTTGAATGTGCTGGTGAAGAAGCAGATGCTTTATTTGATTTATGGATTAATACATGCCCAAATCAAGGAAGTCGTACTATACGTACTGAGGTACTTTAAAGCTCTCATGATATAAATTTATTTTATGAAAATTTTGATTATAAATTTATAATGATAATTGAAATATATAGGAAGCTATCCTGATTACTATGGCAACTTTAAGAGTATTTATAAACCAAAAAGGCAAAAAAGAATAATTATTGTTTTGCTTCTAATATTTTGATTATATGATTTGGAAAATCCCATTCTTTTGCAAAAAATCTTGCATCTATAAACCTTTTTTTCCTAATCATAGTTTTGAAAATTGCAATTAAAATCATTTCAGATGGCATCATATTATATTTTCTTTTCATATCTTTTGCTATATCAGATGCAGAATGTGTTTTACATTTTCTACACTCACTTGCAATCATATAATTAAATATCTCTAGATCTGGTTTCAAATTAATTGGTGGTGATATCATTTCCTCAAGATATTTTTTAGCTTGTTCTATATTATGATTTACACAACTCCATCTTATCAATGATTTGTAGATTCTTGGCTCAGGTTTTAGGTTAAGACTCAGGAATTTTCTATAACAACTATCCATTGAATCCAAATCATTCAATCTGCCATATTCTTTGAAAATTTCCAAGAATGTAGAGATGATGGACCATTGATGATAGTTTAGCTTTACAGTTGGTAAAAATGTAATTTCAAGAAATTCCTGTGCTATTCTAATATCAAATTCTTTGGCATATAACCGTATCACCAGACTCAAGGTTGTTAAATTATTCTTTATCTGCTTTTTTTTAAGGTCCTGTAGAAATTATTCACAGTATTATTCGATGACGTACAGCTAAGTTTTCCACTGCACAACAACTGCAAAAGGAGGCACGTTTTATTTTTCAACATCGAGAGGATAATACTTTTAGACAACATTTCATAAATTCTGTGAAATATCCATATACACCGAAGCAATTGCATATGCTTACACGAAAGTGTGCTGTATTGCTTTTGGATGTGTTTGCAAAGATATATCAAGCACAAAATCAGTATCCTTTAATTACTAAAACTTCATCTAATGGTATTAACTCATACAAATTTCCTTCTTTAGTTTACGAAATAACCAATCGTCACCTTCCAAGAGGCTTCGTTACTTCTAAGAAACCATCTACAAACATTTTTTGCGATTACGTATATTGTGATTACACTAACTCTAACTATACTAATTTGAATAATTGTAGTGTACTTGCGTGTGGACATGGTTATCACAATCATTGTCTACAAAAGTGCCAATCTAAATGTTTGATATGCTTGGACTATCTTCA